CCCCCCCCCCCCCCCCCCCCCGTTGACTCCCGTAGGTAAGCCTTCTGCTGGCCCTCGGAGTGGTCATGGGCACGACGGCCTACATCGGCGACAAGGCTGAGTCCGAGGCCCGCGACAGCCTGGAAGCCCAGATAGAGCGGCACCTCAGGGACGCAAGCGTGGAGGCCGCGGCTACAATCGGAGAGAGGTTCCGGAAGATCCAGTACGGGGTGCTCGACGTCACGGCCTTCGCCCTCAGGGACGCCTTCCAGGAGGTGCGTTTTTTGTCTTTTTCGAGCTGCAACCTCGGTGGATTGGTTGGCCGCAGCTGCTGTCTGAAGAAGAACCAAAGCTTGAGTGTTCGTGCTTTTGCCTCCCCTTCCCTGCTGATGTTGAGCTAGCTGCCGCTGTCGACCAGATGATATATCTGAGCAAAAAATAACTTCGCGAACATGAACAGGTAAAATATGCTATAGCAATGAATGTCGTCTGGCGCTACCGGCCTTGCCGCGGAGACTGTTGTTGGCCCTCTCGAGGTCGACGCGCGGTCTCTGCGCAATAGAAGAGAGTGTTTCCGTTGACGCGCACTTTTCCTGTGAATCTCATACCTCGCTCTTATCCATCAACTCCGCTACCCAGGACCTCGTCCTTGCCGGGGGAGAGGAAGGGTACCCCCTTTCTCCGGCCCACACCGACCTCCGCGACATCGAGATCACGGAAAGCTCGGAAGCCAATCTGGTGGGCTTCAGCCGACAGGACGTCCTCGTCGACCTCTCCCGCAGCGTCTGGTGAGTCGAATCAAGTCGGTAGGCCGTACAAGTAGTACCGTAGACGACACAAGATAACACACCCCGGTGATAACATTTTGGGCTGTGAAAATATTTACCACCGGTGTGGTATCCTGTGGGGGGTGTGGTATCTCATGTATCCCGGGTGATAACGTGCGGCTCGCAGGAGCCCCTAAGGGGGTGTGATAAACAGGGGGGATGATAGCACGTCCGAACACGCACAGGGTGTGTTTCGGGGTGTGACAGATGAGGGGGGGTCTATAAAAAGGCGGTGTGATAGCACGTCCGAACACCCACAGGGTGTGTTTGGGGGTCGGGTGTGAAAATTGGTGTCTGTGATAACAAGAGGGTGTTGTGGCACTGCTTGTGGAGTTAGTTGAACCGCTGGTGCCGCACACTTGAAGGGGTGTGTATTGCGGGGGGGTGATAGGCATGCCTGTACGAACACTTGCGGTTCTGCGGAATGTGGTAAATTAAAGGGACTCAGCGGAGGTGACGAAACTCCTGAGCACATGACCTCGGTGGCCACAGAGTGCGCCATCCGTCCTGCCCCCTCTCACAAAAAGCTGCTGCATACCTTACTATTGGGTACGACCAAAAGAGAATTACGCAAATGTTGCATGTGTTTGCGATGCCCACGGGGCAGATGTTGTATCACCCCGGTCATAGAAGGAGGGGCCCCGTGGGGGCCCCGTGAACGTATGCGGCGTCACCCCAAGGGGTGTGTCATCTTATGTAGCCCCGGTGATAAATCGATGGTTTGTCAGAAACGGCTAAAATTATCACCGGGGTGTCGTATTCTGTCGGGTATGTGGTTTCTTGTGTGGGTGTGTTATCTTGTGTCGTCTACGGTACTTCGTCAATCAAGTGGGTAGGCCGTGCAGTGTAGTGCAGCAGCAGTAGCCGTGGCAGTAGGAAGGGGAGGGACACGTTGGCGTGAAGAGCCTCACGTCGATATCTTGGGCAGGCCTCTCTCTCTCTCTTTCCCATTTCGGGACTGTTCGCGTCGGGCGCGGCTGTCTGACGACGTCGTCAGGCGTGCCAAAAGTTTCACATTTGCGCCCATTGATGTATGGACCGCACGGGCTACACAGTAGAGAATGATGATAAGCGGCGTGGCAAGAGTGCTCCCGCGCGGGATAGTGGTACCTGCTTATGAGTAGCAGCACACACCGTGCCCCTCGCCTCGAAAAGGAGGCGTGATCCCTTCACACCCACTCGATCGAATCAATTGTGCCAAAAGCAATTCAAGCGAGCGAGGCCGGGCGTGGACAGTCCACGGTCTAACAACTACGGCTTCTCGAGGACGCCTGTGGACAACTCAATGGTCTAACAAACGCGGCTGCAGCAACCACACGAGTACGCTTCCCCCCCCCAACATGACTGACTTTCGACTACTACAGGTACTACGCGGACGCCGAGTCCAACACGGTCGAGGTTTCGGCGGCGGAAGACCAGCTCAAGATCAACCAGTCAGCCCGGCTAGACCTCCTGTGGCCGGCCATGTACATCAACTCGAACGACACCAAGGGCATCCTCCTCGGCGTGGAACTCTCTACCACCAACCAGATGTTCCGCTACTTCCCCGGCACTGACCTCAGCGCGGTGGAGGGCTCAGCCTTTGCGTGCGAGGACGTCCAGGAAGACGGAACCTCTCCTTGCTACGACCCTACCGAGCGCGACTGGTGTGTGTGTGTGTGTGTTATTGTTTCTGTGATTGGCTTCGAGGTTGCTCTACGGCTGACCACTGAAAAGCCGCCAGCCTCTAAGCTTGGTGTATGTGTAGGTAGCGTCGACCGCGCTACCCGACTGAATGATGATTACACGCCAGTCTTGCTAAAACAGCGGTACAAACAATACTGTCATCGAAATCTGCCCCCCCGCGAGCGGGGGGGGGGGGGG